ATATTTTTTTTTATGGGGGGGGGGAGGGATTAGGTAGAAATTAAAATTGAATGGAGGGGGGGGGGGGGCAAAAAAAGAGAAGAACAAACAAAGGATTAGTTTCAATACCTCTTGTAATACATCAAAGTACAACCTCAATATATTGTTTTTAATAGTACATATACAGATAATCAAATCTATGACGACAAACAGCCCCACAGAAACAAACGAGAAGCAAAACAAAGCTCTTTTTTCTAGTGGTAAGGGAAGTATTTCATCCTTCCTGTCCTCAACTTGAATTATTAAAAATATATTGTACCTCAAATGAAAAATACTGACATGATTTTACTATATCTATTCATCACATATTCAAGATATATCATCATGCTATTGTTGCTGTAAACGTGGTCGAATTTAAAAGTAAATTGTCATTATGATATGAAAATACAAACTGTCTCGTTTTCATGTCAAATTAGGCATTTCCTGTTTACAAAAATTCAGCTTATGAGAGTCTAATGATATTGAAAGCAAAACTGAATGCACAAAAAAATTGTTCTTCCTTCCTTTGGACAATTATTATAAAATCAACGAATATTCCTGACTTCAAACATTTTAATGACACTAGATGATATCAATCAAGAAAAGAACCATACATTTACATTCAAAAATCCATAAAGCATTTCTTACATTATACAATGCAGACAACATAATCACAGCCATTCTGTGATATATAAAGCTCTGATAACTCTTTAATAAAACCAGTGGAATAGCAAATTCTGCCTGTGATATGCAACTGAAGGATTCAAGTGATCGTCTCTGATCAATTGAAGAAATTACTGAAATCGCTAAATATGAATATAATACAATTAGCAAGCTTTTTTTAAACTTCCTTCTTTCTCTTAAAGTTAATAGGGAAGCATATATCAATTAATTCCAAATTGCCATTCCACTGAAAACTCTTTTATCAAATCAACAACAAACTTTGAAGTGAGGTCATATCATAATGTGCTTTCTGAAAAGTCAACAAAAAATATTTACAATCTGGTTAAAGTTTCATAAAACTAACCAATCTGCATCATCACAATGATGTTTGGAACAAATTTGCTTGTTCTACTTATATTTTGATCACATTCTATTTATACTTCCTTCTATTAAAAAAACATTATAGTCGATTGCCTGAGCGAAATAAGGTAGACCGAAGTGATGAAAATATATGACCAAATTGTGCTGTGACAACTTCCACAGCCTGTTTTGAGATTATTTATATATCATGATTTTATTTGTATAATTCAAAAAAATAGTTGGGAAAAGAAAACATAGATTTTTGTTTTAAAAAATTGCCAAATCCAAATCAGAATTCAATAAAAAAGGTAAGTTTTCAGAAAGATTTTGAAAGAAAACGAGGGACAAAAAAATGTGATGAACAAAGTTAGAGAAGAAAAAAAAAACAGAAATGATATAACCTCACTCCACATAACGCATTCTGGGTACAATACAAAAATACATAAGAACATAATATCAAATAACCATGCAATTTCATTGTTGCAAAATCAAATTCTCAGAACAAAGCGCAGATGCACATACATGTACATACAGGTAAAGAAAATTGTGAAAAATGCAGTAACACAACACACAAAACTCCTGAATATCATTACAGAAATATTACTATTCTGAAAATTTGTGATTTCTCATAAGAGTACAAAATTGTTTTTGAAACCCCCATTTGTCAGTAACTAGAATACACATTTTAAACAAATACAAGTGCAAACTTAATATCCAATCTTACATAATAAGAATAGCGCACATGGTATTTTCACAAATACTTTTATCTTAAATTATCCCTTATTATAACGTATTGAAAGAATCCAATTTCAAAGGAAATTCACATCAAAGTGATTCCATGGCTCATTTAATTAAATATCTCTTTAAATTAATTCTAGATTTTCTAGAAACCTCTGTTATCAAAGCACAAATCAATTTTCTGCTCGTACTAACGTTTGATCATAATCAGCTCCTTTGATAAGAGATGTTTAGGCTAATACATGTACTGTATGTACTATTTTCTTATACCAAATATACAAATTCAAAAAGAACTTGCATTTGATATTACATCCTAAAATGCCTACCGGTACATGCATATATTTCGCAGGTAAAGTTCATTGTTATGAAGAAAAAAAGGGAGAAAAAAAAAAAAACATATCGAATGATGAAGTCTGTGTTAGATTTACCCAAAACCTTAACTTTGCAAAATAAAGACCATAGGAAAAAACTTTAAATAAATTAATACGACAACACATATGTACCAACAAGAAATAAATATATTGAACTAATAAATTATACCACATGCCAACATTAAACACATGCATTAATCAACAGATAGAGGAGAGAAATCAAACAAAAAGGAAACTTACATTGACACAAACGATGAAAGCATGCAAGGTATGTGACAGGAATGCGAAGGTAGAGGGCAGTGTGCATACAAGGTAGTGGCAGACACGTGCAGTACATGGCAGGCAGCAAGGCTTTTTTGAAATTTCCATTTAATTTATTTTCATTTCTTTGTGATAAAAGCTTTAATATTTTGAGAGAAAATTAATGTGCTAGGTTTTTTTTATTGAATATTTATCAACTACTTGCTGCGAAGGCAGTGATTTGGTTTTTAGCATTTTTTTTATTAACAAAATTGTGTTGTAAACAAATATCAGGTACAAAAAAGCAGTATTAAACCTAAGTTTATAACACTTGCCTGATATTTTCAAAGACAGCATATAAAATTGTGAGGCAAAATTTAATAAAGCTAGAAAATTCTTACAAATGTTAAGTTCTAAATTGCAAATTCTTACCTTAGCAAATATTTTTTGAATCCTATATTTTATTATTGTTAATTTGAAATATTTGTTTTAAAACTAGGATATTCTTTTGTTATTAAAGAAGACTTTTTAGATACCAATTCAAGCAAGCAAAGTAGAGATAGTAAAAACTGCAAAGTGCTGGAAGAAAATACCAGAAAATATAAGTGCAGATCACAAAAGAACAGTATCGAGTGCAATACAACGATGCAAGGTGCAAGATAACACACAACTCCGGTGCAGCAGTGCTTCAACGATAAACATCTGTCAAATCATTTGAATACATATCTATGCTTACTAATCATGTTGGTTAATATTCTAGGTTTCTCGCTGCTTAGGGCGGTAGAAGTCCATCATTAGAAGTATCAAAATTGAGAATAAAAAAAAGAGGGGGAAAAAAGAGGGAAAGGAAGACAAAAGAAAGGGAGAGAGAGAGAGAGAGAGAGAGAGAGAGAGAGAGAGAAAGGCACAAAAACAGATACCTAGCTCAAATGTGGCAGATATTTACAATGTCTTTGGATGTTTTAAAGTGCTATTTCAAATAATTAACTTTTTTGTTCTTGCTTTCTTTTTTTGCTGTATGCAGGATAAAAAATAGATAGACAATAAATTATGTATGACAATAGATATTTCTAATAATACCACTTCATGTATGTTATGAGTGGGAGTGAAAACATGTTTATGAGGGGAGAGAATGGGATGAAAACCACAATGATGACAAAAATTTCAAACAGTAAACAACAAATTAACCACTCATTTTGTTACAATTAAAGTTTCACATTATCATGTCAAATCTCTTCTTTTTTATGCCATTGAAATCTATTAAGTATCAGAATTAATTTTGATATGAGAGTGTCTGCATTGTAATCATGCCAATTCTCAATTGGAACGAGTGACTATTAAAGGATGAGAATCTTTGCAACATCTAAATATCTGACATTGAAGGGGAACAGTTAATAGTGTCAGTTCTCAATTAACTAGAAAGTTACAGAAAGAGTAAAGATATATCACACAGCCATATAATATTTGGTTAGTGTCCAGAAGTCCAATTAGTTAAGAAAATTAAATATATTTCAATCTGCATAGATGCAACAAAAGAGTGATTAAATGTTTGTTTACTATTCATATATCAGTTCAAATAAATTGGTATGTTCACACTCGCTAAAAACACACACATCAGGCACCTTTCACACTTCGTGGAGTTATCGTTATATCTGGGATGAAGGAAGAGGAAGGGGTTGGTGATTTATGCACTATATATTTATGAAAATTTTTTATTTTGGATCTTAACAAACAAATTATGTTCTGCTGTGTGCTTATATACCATCTAAATAGTGAAAATGTATGTAATTTGTGCCATCTAAAAATGTCTATATTTGCAATGTGTAAATAAAATATGTTTATGGATGATTTCAAAATGTCACTGTCATTTGTGGATCGAATTGAATTTGCATGAAATACACTCCTACACTGAACATTAGGGTAATATAGCTTTAGAAATTGGAAATTGAGCATGTATGAAAAGTTTTAATACAAAGGGCAGAATTTAGACATGTAAAAAGGAGAAGGCATTACTGTACATGATAGTTTACAGGTTGGAGGTATACATACATGTGGTTTGAAGTTGGTACAAATTGAAGCCCTTTTCTTAATGTCAGCATTATGTGACTTTGTTGGACAATTGATGAGGTTAAATAGTCGAACGGAACAGATTGAAAATATCACACACAATTAACACACATGAATGTACTGAAAACCCAGTAAGTTTGTGAAAATGCTACACAAATTCAGCACAGAGCGACCCATTTTATTTGATAATTCTAATAATGAAATTCCATTGTGACAGCTCAATGTTAAATACAAGTACAAAAGTTCCTGTCAAATTTAGGAAGACTGAAAAATGTTAAAGGGGAGTTTAGAATTAATTTCTGCGCTGAATTTGCGAACATAATCACTGAATCACAGAGAAAAAACGATGAACATGAGAACATAGACAGACTTAAAACCACAAATGAAATACATGTACAAACAAAATATAAATGAACTAATGTGGAGACAGAACAATAATGGATGATGGGGGACAAATGGTCTGATGAGAGGGGAGGAAAAGGGAGAATAAATGAGAATAAACCCAAGGCAAGAAATAAAAACAAAAAATTAAGAATGCAAGAGTGGTTTTCATCTTATCATGGCTTGTGGCATATATTTTCATTGTATCATACAAGAATAGCATAGCAATCCTGGCCCCATTTCACAAAACTTGTCATCAGTGACAAATGACAGTTTTTGTTATAAGCTACTGAAATCCTTGCTTCTGATTGGTTATCAGCAGATTTGTCACTGATTTATGTCATTTGCCATTGAAAAAAAGCTTTGTGAAAAAGGTCCCAGGTGGTCTCATTTTAGTGATAACAAATTATAGAAGAAAACAGCAGATTTATGGCTACAACTGCCTCATGATGCAAAAACCTTCATATTTTTCTCTTCATATACACTTTCATCTTAATATCAAATGCTTTGTATCAACTTCTTTCTTCTGATAAGATGTCAAAAGACTTTAATATCATCACAACATTTACTTTGCAATTCCTCTATTTCTTCCTTCCTGTGTAAATTAATTTCTTTGAAGAGTGATGGTTTAAAGATAAAAAAGTTATAGTTGCCAATGATGAGATACATATTTCTATTTGAACTTGCAAGACAAAAGAGCAGATAAAAATGTCAAAGGTCGTATCACTTCCAATCAAGGAAGCACGCCCTCTATGTGCAGTTTGTGTACAGTTAGCATAATCCATGGTTATTGGAATATCAATTATAATCATGATTAACATAGTCATCGCCTCTGACATCAAGAATGTTATATTGCAGTGTCATTTCTGACTAACCGTACGTTTTCTTGTAATGTTGAGATATCGCAAATTCATACTTACTATATAATTATGGATATATCTTATCAATGAGTATATACATTATCTTACAGACTATAGTTAATATAAAAGTTGTTAAAACTCAAAGTAATATATATTAATATACCAAAATAACTCTTGCATAAAATCAATCAGATCCATAAAAACATTACACTACAGTCCCACAAACCCTTTCTCCTGTTAGGGGTACGTGCCATTCCATCAATAAAACTACTGTATGGTTTACTAACAAAATGAAAACATGATGTGAATTTGTACAAGGTGAGATGTCATTATAATATCATTAAGGTTCATAAAACATAATCTTTTTAAATATTTCAAATGTTAAAATGTCAAAACAAAGAAAGCCTAGAAGTATCATTTCCAATGATAAGTTTTCAGCAATGAATAAAACTGTTCATCACGCTCACTGATGAAAGAAAAAATATTCTATTTTCAAAGACAAAAATATATTAATCTAGTTTTCTTGTTTTCCTTCCATCTTTCAGCTTCATCAGTCTATCATATCAAAGACGTGGTGCTACCCAACTGCTCATATTTACAAGCAACTTTTACCATTTTGGAGGGATATACTGATCCCTAAATTAATCTTGTCAATCTAAAAAATCTAGAGCATCGATTACAATTTTCTGAATAGTTTAGACATAAAAATGGAAATCAACAAGGAGCCAATTTTAGGTTATACACAAAACATTCAATTTACATTGTACACATTATCCGTCTAAAATAGGGATATGTTCATATAGAAAATACACAGTATGTACAAGCTGTACTGTATGTACACATATAGAAAATATCATAATAAGAAACCGACACTGGTGGACCAATTCGAACTTTGGTTGGTATTGGATTGAGAGAATACATTCATCACATACAGACCATTAATATTGATAAACTGTCTCTTGGCAAAACAGACATGCAATGACATGCATGGGACTGGGGAGAAACAGATCACATATGATTACTTTAAATGTATATGTCGGACTTAACAAAGGGAATAAATATTTGTATATATCGATGAAGAACATTGCATTTAAGCTTTGGGATGGGGGGGGGGGGGAGGTGTATATGAGATCAAGATAGCTGCCCTTTTCTACTTTTTTTCTTCAATGTTGGTTCACTGAACACTCATTGAAACAAATGTGCAAAAATATGTCACACCAAGCTGTCACACATATCAGTAACATGTAATTGATGTTTTAATGAACATGTGGTATATAGCTCTAGTTTAAAATAAAACTGTTATTCATAGTAAAGGAATGATCTCTCTGTTCCTAAAAACCTTTCTTTAAAAAAAAAATCTTAGAATAAGAAGTAAAATAATAGAATGGTAATGTATTCCTTTCCCTTTTTCAGATAAAAATTCACTGAGAACTATGCGATGGAAGGAATTGTGATCTGTTTTCGGTTTCTCAATTTGTAATGAACATATCAAAGCATTCCAATACCAGTCAAAGTTGGAATTTGGACCACAGTGGTTTCAATTCTACTATAATTACAGACTACATCAATATAGCACCTATTAGAAGCAGTATAGTGTATGTTGTTTACAACTACACTTGAGAAAAAATACAGAGAATATTCAATGGTGTTGATAATAGAAGACAATGATGATGAGGATGATGGTGATGATAATGATAATGATGATGATGTTGATAAGGATGATGATGATGATGATGATGATAAAGATAAAATTCAACAGAAAGTGTGATAGCAGTGTATTATCAGGTAATGATACCCAATGAAAGAAAGAGAAGAATTTCAGAAGAAATAGAATTGAGAAAATAAGAATCATGATGATGATTTTGAGGGTGATGGTGTAAGTGGATGTACATGAAGAAGATAATGTGAATATATTAACTCATATAAGTATCTGGGGCCAGTTTCTTGAAACAGTCACAGGTCTAAGTTCACAAACATCCCATAGAAACATGTGTTTATTCTAAATAGAGGATACATCACAAGATTCTCTGGGATGCCCAAGAAGTCAGACTCATGGATTCAAGAAAGTTGACAAAATGCATTTTCTTTCCTCACTTTCTTTCAGATTATCACTCATGATATTAATATGTATCATTGTACATTTATGACAGCACCAATTGCATATTTTCATGAAATCCCTCCATTTATCAACTACCGATACTACTTTAGTGTACAGCATCAGAGCATAAAGTTGTGAAATTAACAGAAAAAGCTAAACTGTTTTAAAGGAAATTAATAAAGAGTAAACAATCCCTAGTTTGAAGGGTTATTTTTCAATCATCCTTCTACAAATTTCTATTTTTGGTAATGTCTCACATTAAGTACATGAAGTGCAGCATTGAACTTTGTAAATTAAATGTTTTCTAAATGGTTTAGGCGCTCATTTCTTGAGCATATACAATATTTCAGAAAGAATCTTGCTCTGCATCAATCGATGATCATAACATTGGTAAATAACAACAGATCTGACACAACTGAGGAAATTATTGCCATCATAATGACTAAAGGGGAATTAAAACTCAATTGTATTCAGCTAAAAGTTTGAGCTGACAGCTTCTGGTTGTAGTTGTAATACATTTGTAGAATTCTTTCTGAACGAATTGGACACATTGCAAAGTTCTTTCTTTTCTTCATAGAATACACATTTGTCATGCAATTTTACAGGTAAAAGGTTGGAAAAAGCAATTTGCTATAAAAAATAAATAAAAAAAGCAATTCCTATATTTCAGATTAACAATTCAAATAAAGAAAAAGAAAAAAGCAGAGCCCATATTAATGTGCATTTCTAAAGAATTGAATTCCTCTTTAATTATATTTTTTGTCCACATTTGAAACATCAGAAAACAGAAACTAAATATTTTTCTATCAAAATAGAACCAAATACAATTTTGCTATACTTTCTAAGTTACTACAAAATAAAAACATGTAAATATGAAATTCTCTTCATAACATAAAAAATAATCTATAAACATAAGTTGGCCACTCTTCTGCTACTGAAAGGTCAGGGAACTATCAGCCCAGCTGCTAAAATATTCTCTTTACATTTGATGATAAAGCTTCATTTTCAACAAAATTTCTACCATTTCAACTAAATTCTGAATCTACATCTACTAAACCTGTGTACCTTGGTAAAAATTGCACATTTGTGAGCAAAAATGGCAAGTAACGAATTAAGTATAAATAAAATTCTACACATTGCAATGGGTGCATCATTATATATTAATAATCTCTCTCTCAAATAAAAAACATTAGTAGTTTATCTGGTTCGTGTGTACAAACAATCTACATGTATACAAAAATGCTAGAATTGTGTTATGTTATATTACTTTTATTTCCTATGTACACTTGTCATTAGCTGTGCAAAATGACAGAATAAAATTGCTGCGTGTGTAAGCTTTACAACTTCTTTCCAAAGTCCGATTTTTATTTTGCATGGCATGAATTCTTATGAGTGCTGCAATATATACATCACACTTACACAAATAAGATCATTGCTTTCTTTCGAGTGGAAACACATCTTTTTGTGAAGGTTATAGAAGCACAAAACACACGCGGGAACACGTCAAACACTGGGGTTTTGTGGAATCTTGAGGTATATGATCATGAAAGCTTAAGGGTTTTACTGGAAGGTGGTGGGGTAGGGGGTTGACTAGGTTTCAGGTTGGGGGAAGGGTAAGAAGTTGAAATTACATCAAATCACAGCATAGCATTACATGGTAAGAGTATGAAAACATCAAACGAGGTTTAGGATAAGGGAAACATGCCGTGTACACATAGGGGTAATCGGCCGGAGGGAGGGGGGGGGGGATGAAACTATCAAGTAATCCTTGTGGGTGGGGTAGGGGGTATCTTCTTTGTTTTCGTCGGTGAACCAATAGTGCTCAGCCTTGTCGTGTCGCTTCTCTTTGGTGGGGGAGGCGGCCTAGAGGCCTTCTGGGGCGGGGCATTGTTGTTGCTAGGGAAAGGGGGTGATCTGTAACTGGAAGAGGGGGATGGGGAGGGCGTGGAAGTGGAGCTCACAGACGAGTTGCTAGGGCTCATTGGCACACCATATGAGTTTGGAGGATAGGCGTTACCTTGAGGGAGCATGTTGTTTACGTGCACCGGTTTGGCCATAGGTTTAGGGGAGGGCTTGGGAGAGGGCTTGGGTGAGGGCTTGGGCGACATGGGGAGTGGCCTGTCCCCATGGACACTGGGTTTTGGAGAGACCACAGGACGTGGGACGCTTGGCTTCTGGTTGACCATCGGTCTTGGAGACATGGGTTTGGGGGACATGGGAGGGGGCACTTTGTTTGCCAAGATGGGTTTGGGCGATGGTGGGGGCTTGTCTCGTACATTGACGTGGGCGTGGGACGGGGACTGCTGGTGGTAAGACTGGTGTTGCGGAGAGTGTGGCTGGGGAGAGCGTGGTTGAGAGAAAGACTGCTGAAGTTGTGGGTGTGGTTGGGGCGAGGGTTGGGAGTAACTCTGACTGACAGGTTGGTGGTTTGTAGGAGGGTGTGATTGTTGGGTCTGGTAATGATGACGAGGGGACGGAGAAGAAGAAGGAGAAGGAGAAGAGTTGGGTTGGGGTTGATAGTGTTGGTTGTTGTGGTGGGCTGGAGAGCGGGGTGGAGACTGAGATTTTGGGGGTTGTTGTGAAGGTTGGGTGGTAGCCACAGTTTGTCTGTTGCCAGGCAATGGAACGGGCTGTCTGGGTTTAAGCGCATTACTGAGTTCATTTAGAAAGACAGGATTGGCTTGCCTCAGATTCTGTCCCTGTTGTGCCCGATCAACTGATGTCTGTCTCTGAATCTGTGGCTGCAATTGCTGCTGCTGTTGCTGCTGCGACGGAGGCCTTTCAAAAGAAACATGCCTCTGAATTTGTGGTTGCGGTGATGGTGGAGATCTAACTGCATCAAATGACACATGCCTCTGCATTGATTGTGGTTGCTGTGGCTGCGACCTCTCCATTGATAAATGTCTCTGAAGTTGTTGCTGTTGCTGCTGATAAGCTCTTTCAGAAGCCTGCCTCTGCAAATCTTGCTGTCTCCTCTCCTGCTCCTGCCGCTGTTGCTGCAACTGCTGCTGGTGTTGCAGCTGCTGCTTGAGTTGGTCTTGCTGCTGCTGCTGAATCTGCTTTTCCAGTTGCAGTTTCTGATGCTGCAACTCCTGCTGCAGCTGATGCTGCTGCTGCTCAAGCTCCATAAGCTTATGCTGTTTGGCGACGATTTCCTGGCTACCCTGCGTGGGCTGGGGGTAGTTTTCCGGCCCTCCGGCATAGGTCATGGGTTGGCCGTAGACGATATCATCCTGCTGGGCCCTGGTAGCAGTTGCGGTGTGGGTGTAAGGGTGGTGGTATTCACTGGCCTGAGTTTGAGGTCCTAGCTGCTGTGAATAGGAGGGATGGGAGTCACTGGTTGAGGGTGTTTGTGCCATGCATTGGGTAAAGAAAGAAGGTGGGGGAGGACTAGGGGATCGTGCAGTAGCATTCTGCTGAGGTGACAAGCAATCCAGATGAGATGGTGTACAAGCAAAATGGTTAGGGATGGGTTTAGCTGAGGATGGGTTAGTAAGCGGAGGAGGGGAATGCAAAGGAGGGGTTGGTGGCGAGGAACTGTACTCATGCTCGGGTTCGAAGCCCGGACTATTGTCCGGTATCTTCTCCTCTATCTCTTCTTTAAACTTGACCCTCTTGACGCATGCACTCGCCAAGCTTCCGCCCCGTTGTCTCCCAGAGACGATGATCCCCTGGGTTCCCCTGCAACCTATCTGCGTGTCCGAGCTCCTCCGCAAGCTGGACCGCGTGGGGGCCTGGCACTGCCAGATCGGCTCATCTGACACCGTGGAGCCGCGTGCGCCCGCCGAATCGGCCACCGTCACCGAGATGGCATCGTTATGCAAAGCGACTACCTGTACCCGGGTTAGGGCGTTACTGTTATTTCTATTGTCAGTGATAGTTTGGGATGCAGGTGACCTATAACTACTTGCCTGCTGCTGTGTTGTAGGAGGAGGAGGTTGTGGGGTGGGATTGTTAGGTGGATGACTAGCACAGATCTCGCTCTCCAGGTCGTACAACGCCTTCTGCACGTCTAGGTCGTCAAACGTGTTGCCAGAATTGGCTTTCGTTTGGTTGTTGAGTTGCGGCCGATTATCAAGAGGTGGCTCCTGGAATAGAATGTATCGGACATGGTATTGTTTATATTGTACATGTATGTCTAGTTGTAATAACAAAGAATTGGAAATAACTACTGGTCAGCATCAAGCAAATACTATATCAGTGACAATCATTTATGTTCACACTTCTTGGGTGTTTTTTGTAAGAAACATTTCAAAATTAAGAAAATATCTATTCTTATTTTTAAATACCCATCCTTTTCATTGTCACAAAGTTTGCTTGTCATGGTTAAACGACTTTTATTTGTCTGCTCTCAAACTTTGTGTGAAAGGAATATCATTTTCTCTCAATTTCTTTATGCCCTCAAAGAACAGAGACCGTTTTAAACATATGCGAAGAATTACCATTTTTCCTGTCAAGATTTGCTTCAATGATAAAGATGACATTCTTTGGTAGGACTTTTTTCTTTTTTCAAACTTTAAAAAAAAATTGGCATTTACAACAATTACCCTTTATGGCATCAAGCTTAATCCTTTTTAAATGAAATATGGGTGTTGTCTTTACAGAAAAGTCTCTAGATATTACTATCTCTCAGGCGTTATCTTTTGTTAATGAAATATGTGTGTTGTCTCTTTAGGAAAGCCTCTAGACATTACTATCTCTCAAGGTTACTGTATCTTTGGAAGCCATATTAAAAAACTTGTTGAGCTACAATTCTTATCTTGTCAAAAGTAATCAGCAATTGTTAAAAGGATAACAAGTCCTTTGTGACATCTGGAAGATTCTTAAATCGACAACTGACGTCATTTAACTTACATTCATGCATCAAGAGACATCAAAACATGCCACAAAACAGATGTCAAAATAACAAAGCTAACCCCTTACCATGCTCCCAATTGTACAGGCTGCCAGCTTGGCAAGAATTTAAATTGTTTACCGGTATGTTGCAATATAATACATCATCCCATTTCCAAAGATGATCTTTTAAATATAATATTTTCAGAAATTCTTCAAAATTCGAAATTTATCTGACAAATGAAAAAAAAGTAACTGTCCTTTTTAAACTTTAAATGTTCTTGCTCTAAAATGTCATTCCAATTAAAAAAGGTAGGAAATTAGAAAAACATGCAGAGATTTTGAAACATTGGCATATTTTTTCGTTGTCTAAGTGGATTTTTTTTTCTTCTAGTGAATTTTTATAGAATTCTTGTTGAGATATACTTGTCTAGATTTCTTGTCAAGAACTTGTACTTTTCGATTAGGTAGCATGGCAAGGGTTGAAACTAATCTCCAGTTCTGGTAGTGAATTTACATTCCGAGAGTTTATGTCTGGAAGTTATTTTGAATTGCTGATTAAGTACGGGGTAAGTAGACCAAATTCGCCTTTAGAAGATCTATAAGCCTTCAGGAAATGCACCTTTCCTTTAGAATATCTAAGAAGATCTTTAGAAGGGTTTTTGACTTGCAATATATCAACAGAATGACAAAAATATGCTGAATAACCCTACACAAAAAAATATCAATGATATGTGCTAATGGGAAAATATACACCGAAGGACTAGTCGTAGTTTGATGGTAGATAATTTTCTCCAAAACGTGTTTATTTTCCTATAAACCCCACACATTTTCTGTCATGTTCAAGTGACACCAAACAAAAAAGAATTTAGTTGATTTGGGTTGGTTTTTGTTGGAAATATTGTTTACAGCCTACATGTATCTGCCCTAAATTGGTTAGGAGGGATTAGACCACCCTGCGTGGTCACTGACAGGTGGTAATCTCATCAACTCAGCTCTCAATTAACATAAGAAAAAGGGGATCATGGGGGACCAACGGGTACAGCTTAGGCATTGTTTGCTATATAGAGGGCGCAAATAGCTACAAGTAGTGCAGTCCTTCTCTAAGATCCCTACCAGAACTGTCGATTAGCTTTTCAACATTATACTTTCATGCAAGGAGGGTAAGAAACATAAACAAACCTCGTCTAAAATCCTGCCTGATGGTAGAGAGGAGGAACGGGTGCTGTAGCGCTCCTAAACAATAATGACAACATTCAATGATAACATGCGAACACGGCACAGATGGCACAGAACTCATAGAGAAGCACATGAAATATGATACAAACACAATCTTGTGAGTATATCAAGTCAAATATGGAACAAGTAAAATGTTTAACAGATGAAAAATGATCAAATTGCAAATAAGACAAGCGCAGATTGTAATAATATGGACAGGAAAACTGTATATGGGGAGGGAAATACAATAAGGTGGAAGTGGAACGCAACATCATATTTTTCTCAACTTCAATTTGGAATGATCGATACATACCGAGAAAGAATGATATAATATATCAAGTTTGTGATTTGATGATTGTAAATACAAAATGCAGTAAATAATGAGCGCCGCCCACGAGAATGTAATGATTATACTGAGCAAGGTACATATCTGCATGGACGTATAAAATGCACATGTTTTGTATTATGATTTGAAATGAAAGCGGGGAGTCTGGTTGAATTTATGACTGTCGTGAACTCTGCATTTATATAAGCCCACAAGCAAATCATTGTTACAGGTTATAAGAATCAGATTCAATAGGTCATGGCATAAAGAGGTTGCATAATAATCATTTACAGGAATAATATGAATTGAAATACATGTAACAGCAAAAGTCAATGAATTTGATATGTTGGTAAGAAATCATTAAAATTCTAATGCTTTACTACGATTACCCCACCCTCCTAAAAGACGTACATGTGAAGAAGACTAGGAGAATGTAAATCATCAAAGGAATTCACTGCAAATACATCGCTAGGGATACTTCTAATCAATTCATCTCTATCAACTAAAACAAATGATTAAAAACAAAAACAGGAACAAATTATTTAAAAACGTACTCCATGACAGGGAAACTATCCAAACATTAAAACAAAATCTATGCCAATTGTATAACATCAAAATCGACCTTGTCGACTTGTCAACTGAAATGCATGCCAAACATAACAACTTAATAATCTCTTTCATCAAACCACAAACACATACTGCTTACAATCAAAAGAATACATCTAAAAACAAAAACAAAATGTCTTAATGTGTTTGGTCGAGACCAGTCACATGACACGTTGCTATAGTTACCCTATGCATAGACAGTTGGTGATGCGTCTCGGCCTCCTGCCCTTTTTTCCAGGCGTTGGAAAACATATTACCCATACTGCTCTTGCGATACTGGGCGGTCATTGGAGGCAGGACCAGGGGCGCGTTGAGGTTGGCTGTGATGCTATTGCTGGGGCTGGACCCTGCGGGAAAAAAAATAAATAAAGTGATATGAAGTCTGTGCATGTGAGATATACCGTACATTAGTGAATACAATGAGCTGTCAATTAATATTGTAAAGTCTACACTGTATCTCTAGAAATATAGTTTAGTTTGAGATTAGAACACTTCTCATATCCATAAAATCAAGTGCTTAAAACATTTAAATCAATTTTATATAATTGATGAGCAATATTTTTCTTCTATACAGCTGTACCTCTATCTATAGATTATATCCCAAATAAAATTGTCTGGTAACTTCTTAAATCTGATTTATCTCAGTAGTTCCAGGACAGATAATTACTTTTAGAAATTAAACAAATAATTAAGATGCACTTTGTCAAACAAGCATTTCTTGAAACTACTCTATACTTTGAAATTGCATTGTACATTTTGTTGCATATGAAAATGTATCAGGCCTCTACTTTAAAATATAATTGCCTGAGAATTAAAAATGAATGGATTTGCATGAAAGCATGAAAGGCATAGAGAGTACATCTACATGTTCTTTATGTTTTATCCATCTCTTCATCAAAGCTCTAGTATCAAGCTAAATCCATGATGTTCATGTGTGTATTATTATATTGTATACCAACACCTAATGAAAGCTAGCCATCTACAGCAGCAATTGCATCAGCAACATGAAAATAGCATGGTTACTGTCCCTCTTCTCCAATTCTCTCTCTTATCATCACCATTCCCACCATCAATACCAGCATCCAGCAACTCAAGTTTACAACTACAGCAACACGTTGCCACACATGTTGTTGCCGCACTTCAAGCTATGTGTACCACCAAAAGCCACGAGTTGCAGAAAGTCTGCCTGATTTTGGTGAACTTCAATGGTCCACACCGACACCATATCTCAACAACTACAATCAAGTTGTGCAAGTATGTTGCTAATACACACACACAAATCAAGCTCCTACCACCTACAGGTGTACCATGAGTTTCAGGGAGACTGCATGAGCTCTGTAAACTACAACTACACTGCATGTTCAATGAACAACCATGATAGAATGACAACAACAGTCTCAACGTACAGCCACATCTACAACATATTCCTGCCACACACTCAGTTCCCACAACCTACCATGAGTTGCGATGAGACCGCATGAGCTCTGTGAGCCTAAACAAGACTCCATACTAAGTTAACAAACATGAACCATCCACAACACAAACACAACATATCTCAACACTGACAACCCCATCTACAACATGTTGCTGCCACACACTCAGCTCCCACCACCACCTACCATGAGTTGCGGGGAGACTGCCTGAGCTCTGTGAGCTAGAGCTAGACTGCATACTTGAGAGGGAAGCAGTATCAGTCAGACTGCTAGATTGTGACATACTTTCAGCGCTGGAAGCATACTCCGTCATCTCACGCTGCGTGTCGCTGAAATTTTCGAGTAGGATCTTATTGTACTGCAGAGAGGGAGAACAAACATTGTTTTTCTTTGTGTTATTATTAATTTCTCACTCCTAAAGTGTACATACATACATGTAGGATCAGTCAAGTCTGTTATTGTTAACTTTTTAGAATAATGTCTGTTATACTTAGTTTTTGTTTTAATATTATATCGTATTAATTTAATCTATGAACGTATTCTTGTAAGCTTTATGTAATAATAGTTTTAACATCGCTATGAATTTGATGTGCTTTTATTGTAAACTGAATGTAATTCAGCTCTCGGGCTGCTATTTTTAGTACTTTCAATTAAAAAGTCAGAAAATCAGCAAATAGGCAATGAAATTCAAATTGCATGTACACTGATTCTGTGTACAGTCCAGTTTCACCCATAATTATAAATGCACATGTAGATTCCACATCCATCAATGAGAATACAATTACAATCACCCTTGCTTATTAAAGTAACTATACTCATATAAATTCAGCATATTTGATTAACAAGGAACCCTTAAACATGCCATATCACAAAGTGATAGCCATATCACTTGTGAATAACTACTGTCGCTACACTTACAAATTGAATATTCCAGTGTTCAGTGTTACATGTATACATGGTCACTATAATTATGTTTGTGTATTTGAGGAAGTAGACAAGAATCACTTTCAACTCTTTAAAACTTTTGCGAATTAAAAACCTTTTTTAAACCACTAGAGTTTTAGCCAGTTTAATTGCATACAGACTTTCAGGAGGCAAACTTTGAACTTCAAATTGTATTGGACATCGAAGGGATCTACATTTATTTGGCATATTCACATCCTGTACGTCCGGATATGTTGGATGAATGAATATAGAGTGGAGAAATGTCATACCTTGGCTAATCTTAATCCAGCTATCCATCTCTGACATGTCCTATAGTCTTCAGCACACAGGTACTTGATGTATTTGGATTTCTGCTGGATTTGAGGATGCTGGAAAAAGAAAAAAGAATCAACAAAATGAAAGATTTGACAAACACATGTATACAGAGTAAGAAGAAAGTTTATGAACAGATTATGATAAAAGTAAAGAGGTAAATGTACTTTTACGTGAAGTGTACTTTTACGTGAAGTGTACTTTAACGTTAAGTGTACAAATGTACTTTTGTTTCAAGGTTGCAGGGTTTTTTACGCATCCACAATTCATACATGGTGAATTAAAAGTACAGACTATCTTATGATATATGATATCTATAGTATGGTGGTGTAGTTTATGTTCTCCAGACTCTGTTAAAGTCATTTCCACTAGAAGGAAGGTTATTCTGTCTGCATGCAAGATTTAATGGAAATATTTGAATTTGAGTACTTCATATAATAATTTCATTAATTCATATAATAATTTCATTCACAAGACAGGGTAGGTACAGAAGAAAAAGTCCAAAGAGAAGAAAACAAGGACCATTAATGATGGCCAAAGAAGTTACAAAATAAAGAGAGAAAAGAAGGAATACAAGTAGGAGAAATTAAAGGACATAGGTATTAAAAAAAACTGAACAACATAAATGTATAAGAAGATTAAGACAATGATGAAGATTGGTACATTACCAATTTCAACTGAAACTGAAAAAGTACAGGTGACATAATAATAACAACAAACAGAATACAAAGAAAGTTTCAATTTTTCACACAGGATATTAAAAACGGATAAGAAAATAGTTTGGAAAAAATACAAGAACTGTGATGATAGAAAATGAAAGTGAGAGAATATCAAAGAACAATGCCAACCAAAAACAAAAAAGTTTCGAATCACAATCAAGAAACATGCCCATTCTTATATTTCGATCAAGCCATATGTTTTGAAATTCCCTGAGGATTTGAGAACTGTGTTATCTTGCAAGAAGAAGATTTCCACAAGAAATGTTGCCCAGATGTTCCTTGTTTCCAACTTCCCCTCTGGAAGAAAGTGCTGGTGGCTGGGGTAAAGGGTAAAGAAACACCGCACACAAAACAGGAAGCGACTCGATGCTGGATGACATCAATGTTCTCTCTGGGGTTTTGTTTTTACCTTGAGCATTTTCGGCTCTTTGTCGTTCCTCTGACTCTGAGACCACAACAAGAAGCAACTTTAATGCCGTCATATCTAACATTTTCTCTGCCTTGTCTTCATTTCCTCTTACCATTCCCTCTAATTCTTATCATTCTTTGCAGCAGGGTACAATTGTTTTAAAAATCCCAAGAGAAACTTGCATATAATTGCAGCAGTTTTTTTTTTGTCAGATAAACAATTCATTTAAACTAAAGAACAGTATTGGCAAGCCTTAATTATCAAATTGTCTGATTTTCTGTGGTTTTGGCCAATAAAAATCATGACAACCACAATCATAAACAGTTGTACTGCTTTTTCATACATTACCCACGGCCTAAGACTATGTACATGTAGTTTAACACATTGATAACTGAAATGTCTCATTCCCCATATAGATAGACAGGACAACATTGATTAAAAAAGGGGCACTTATCAAAGTGCAGTCATATATGAAGGAAAAGGGAGACTTTTCAAAAGTAACACGATGAACTTTTCATATTTATATATTTAGAACTGAAAGGAAGAAGGGGCACTTAATAGATGGGTAAAGGGCACTTACAAAGGAAAAGAGCACTTGTCAAAGTTGAAGTGGTCCTGTAGACATTGTTAGCATGTAACTTTTGTTTTCAATATTTGTTTTCTTTTTAGTACTTTGCCTCGTGCCAAATCTTCACATGGTACACTTCAAATATTTATGTTGAAAGAGAACATTTCTCAAATTTTCACGACAGCCATTTTTACTGCTAGAAACTTCAACAAACTGCAAAAATCTAGCATTGTGATTAAAATATTTAATGGAGATTTTGTGAATCTAGATATTTGCTAAAAAAAAATTGATTTCCAATATTAAAAATATGAAGAGGGCCAAGGTATAGTTCCTCATCTTCCTTAAACAAACAAACAAACATACAAACAAAAACAGACAATAAAACAAACAAACAATAAAACAAACAAGATACTTCAGTTACCTTGAGAGCAAAGCAATGATCTGACGGTGCCTTGTGCTTCTTCTTCCAACCCATGCCGCTGTAGACATTGGTGTGTTCAAATTGCACAAGACAAACAATGTCTTTGGTGGACTGTAGATAGATCAGAAGAGAAAAAAGGGAATCAGCCAGATTGATATTGAAGTGTTATGCCTTGGACAGACATAATAAAGTATAAAAGTGCTTAAAAAGAAAATTTGAATGTGTACACAAACAGTTTTACAAGTCAATTATTGGTGAAAATGCGATAGAGACTATGACCTTGATTTATGCACATGTATGTATGAAGTTAAAAAGTTATTGCTCATAATTTATTAATGTAAAAATCGATTTTATTCCATAGTGGAAAGATGAAAACTCCAATAGATATTTTCAAAAATGTGTCTGATGCCTGTCCAACCCAACAAACTTGTTTGTGATTAAATACAAATCTGGAAAAAAAACCAAAGTGAATTCAACAGTCTGTAAATCTGAATACCTTGCTACTATATGTATGAAGCTAAATAAAATCACCTTGACAAATTTGAAGAAATAATCAAATTAAGCATTTAAAAATAATACCATGATCATTATTATCAGATTGTAAAACAATTTTTTGTTACTATGTTTTTTTAAAGTTTCTCCACGTTTAAAAATCTCAAAGAACATTCAAGAAAGCAATGTTGCAACAGGAAGTTCATGTTTATCACAAGGAAAAGCCTTTTGAATTTGGCTTCAAAAACCTCAAATCTCTTCAAGAAACTTGGCCTAAATGTTTTGTTTGGTGTCCCGTCGCTTTCCCCCTGTTGTTTTCTCCTCACTGAATGGCAACCAGGAGAGACAGGAATTAGGTAAAGCAAGGGATTTTAGAAAAAAGAGACTTGGCTAAAGTGATTGCTTCTTGTTCCTGCCTCACTGTTGTGTTTATTCCTGATTTTATAGATGAGTTGCTGGAGGAAATTATCCCCCCTTCCTCACTTTTCCCCTGTGTTCCCTTCTGCTATTCATTGTGGTTTGGCAATGAAGTTTATTAGAACTACAGGTATCTGTTTGTCTCTCTCTTGGGATAAGTGCATTTCATTTTGTAAAAACTATCAAGAAAGTATTAGCTTTTGTTTCTTCTACAATGTTAAAGTGATTTTTAGTTTTCTTTAGTGTCCAACAGTCTTGCTCCCAAATGCACCATTCAATAATTTTGTTTTTTTAATGCAAACATTCTTATCACATAACAATATTTTTGTTTTTTTACATGAGTTTGGCAAAATTCATATATTAAGCAAATAAAACATAATCATCTATAAAAAATTAAATTTCATTTTTTCGAAAACTACAAGTACATGTATATGAGACACAGTTAAAGATCATTTGCTCTAAAAACATAATATATATTTTGTGATTGTACGTCATATGCTCTGACAAGAGTGACTCTGTGGCCAATTTCTATTACTTATCCATGGCTTTACACATGAGTGCCCCAAAACTACATGTAGGTCCAGACCCCCCCCCCCCCCCCCAACATAAAGAGTTAGTGTGGAGCCCTTCACAAAATGAAGTTTGGCGCAATTTTTAGTACTGGAGCATACACAGGGTCACCACTATTTTCAACCATGTTCCTTACCTTGGATTTTCCCTTGGGTGAGTAATAGAGACCGGATCCTCGGAGGACGAAATAGTGTTTCTTCCACGACTTCTTGCCTTCCTGCTTCAGCCAGAGGGGGCCCTCAATCTCGGGGATTCGGTTCCCGGCGTTGAAGAACTCCTCGATCAGAGACTGCTTCGACTTCTCGGCGAACTGCGTCGCCACCTCTGATGCATGCTGGGAGAGAAGGAAGTTCTGGGGAAGGAATGGTCAAGGGTAGAAGAACAAAGAAAACCGGTAGTTAAAATATGTGTAAAATGAAATTAAATCATTTGATTTGACAACTGACTTGTGTTTCATTCTGGTATCACTTCAAGTATATAATGAACCTTCACAAAAAGTTTTCTTGAGTTTCAAGAAGTTTCAAGAAGGACAGAAAAGAGGTTAGTGTCAAGTCCCCAACAAAATATATAGAATTGCATCATACAACCTCATAACTAGATTGCAGGCACATTCTCTTTTTTTTCATAAATCATTCGCCATGAGCACCGAAAGGTTGACCTGTGCACTATACAAGTGGCCACTATTCTTATAATTATTATTCTGTATGTAAAGTATAAAACATATTCTTTAAAAATCAAATGATATATATGTACTAAAGGAAACAATTCTATAATATTGAAAAAGAAATTTAATAAAGCCTTGGGTCTAGCCCTGGCTGTGTCAAATACATGTAAGGAGCAACACAAAGGGCATATAGACTACAGTCTTGACTGGTCTTAAAGTTAAAGCTTATCTGTACTAGTTTATAGAAGGGATGAGACCACCCTGCAAGGTCACTGGACAGGTGGTTTTCTCATCAACTCAGCTCTCAATTAACATAAGCAAAAGAGGATCGTGGGGGACCAATGGTCACCGATTAGGCATTGTTTTCTATATAGAGGGAGCAAGTAGCTACAAGTAGGACAGTGTGGCTTTAAGATCCTCTTTCACATCTTAGGACTGACAAAACTTATCGTCTACAAACTACTTCATGACAACGCTATCTTTGACCAGTGATCAATTGATGGTGTATAATACCTGTGGGTTCTTGAAGATTGCATATTTGTCTCTCCTTTCCTGGAAGAGGATTCTGTTGGTTGTTTCTCTCTTCCAGTTCAGCATCACGTCTGTCACCAGATGCTCGTGGTCTTCCAACGCTCTCTCTGAAAATGTGATGACAGACAATAAATTTGTAAATAACAGAGTGTTTTATGGCATTGTGGTTGGAATTGAATGAAACCGCTGATTCCAAGAATGACAAAGTATCATTTTGGGGGTAGTTTTTAGATTTCTAGATAAGTAGAGTCAAACTTGCGTAAGTGACCAATTGTAAAGAAGACCAACTGTCTATAGAGACTACATCTTATGTTTCCTTCAACGGTATTTCTCATTGAAATATGTCTATAATGAGCAAGTACGTACATGTAATGACATATTACTTATGAAGACCATTTATCTTGTCTCCCTTGAATAGTCTATTTTTACAGGTGTCGTTGTATAACCTCCTTGCTGATATCAATACTATATATATATTCCGTTCTTGTATAACGTCCCTACGTCCTTCCAAAGAGCTTTGGAAATGATTACCCTAGCTTTAGCTGCGGCAGCCGTAATTATCGCACAGTGCATTTGAAGAAATAATCCTACCCGGTACCCACTTAGCTCACCTGGGTAGAGTGTGGCAAATGTAGATTGATGTCTTGCCAAAGGACATTAGTGCGCAGCGTTACTTGAACCGTGGACCTTGCGATCCACAGTTACTATACTATACGACACTATACTAGTAACCAGAGGGAATGGCTTTAATATTAATACCTGTGTTTTTTTTATTACTCACCCATTAAGAGATCTGGAATCTGTTCAATGATAGTCCAATCTGGTCTCTCATCCAAATGGTTCTTCTCTACCAGCATGTGACTGACTTGCCTAACTCTCATCGTCTCGTCAACAAACATCGTCTTGGAACTTCCATCCTCCATGTATACTCGCACGATCAGCTGGAGACAGAGGAATGGAAAATGAAAATAAATTTTAGGTGATTGTTGATTCATTTACAGTATACTCTTTTTTAAGAAGTTGTGACAGACCTGCCAAAGTCTGTCATCTCTTCAACAAAGTTTGTCTTTGAGATATCCTGTCCTCCATGTACTGTACTTCGCACAATCAGCTCTGGACAACAAACAACGATGGGAATATCATCCGATGGAAAACAATATGAAAGACATCATTACTGAGATATATTCTTCTCGGCCATCAAATGACAGAACTGTCAACATGCACAAGTAACTCTCATCATCTCGTCAACAAATATCATCTTGAAGTTCGTGTCCATCACGTACAATCTGACATAAAACCAGCTTCCCAATTAAAAACATCAAATGGAAGACAAAAAATGAAATATGAAAAACATTGAGAGATTCTATGGATATATTCTTCTCACCCCGACCTGCCAACATGTACAAACACATGTACATTTAGGTCTCCCCATCTCGTCAACAAATATCTTGGAGCTGCAGCCCCGAATATAAACTCGCAATAACAGCTGGTTGGAACACTGAGGGGAATTTGACAAATGGAAGACAATTTGAAAATTGTCAGTTGAAAAAAAAGGTCAGATGAAGAATTGTGAGTTAATTATTGACATTCATCAGGCGAGACTGCACTTAGTTTCAGTCTCGGTTTCAATTTGATTGTCTTTTGTTTGGGGCAGCTCTACAAGAACAATGGCTGGTGTCAAAGCTTTTTTGGAAGCGGATTACTGTACAAATGTCAAAAGTTTGGCCAGTACGTAGGGACGTCCTGTCTCAATTCCTGTTGTTGTTTTAATTTTGTTTGGTCTGGGGATGTAATTTTGTCCTTTTTCTGCTTATACTGAGAGTTTATTGAAGATCACTTATTAATTTTTCTTTCTCTATCTGCCTTTCTGCCTCTCTCCTTATTTCTTTCTCCCCTCTCTCTCTGTTAACCTGCCTCCCCCATTCACACATGTACTGTTTCTCTTCTCTCACCCACCCTGTCCCTCCCCCTTGTTTCTCTCTCTCTCTCTATCTCCCTCTCTCTCATCTATCATCCATTCTCTCTCCACTCTATCATCCCTTCTCTCTCTCTCCCCCTCTATCATCCCCCTCTCTCTCCCTCTCTCTCATCTATCATCCATTCTCTCTCCACTCTATCATCCCTTCTCTCTCTCTCTCTCCCCTCTATCATCCCCCCCCCCCTCTCTCTCTCATCCATCATCCATTCTCTCTCCACTCTATCATCCCTTCTCTCTCTCTCTCCCCTCTATCACCCCCCCCTCTCTCTCTCTCTCTCTCTCGTCTATCATCCATTCTCTCTCCACTCTATCATCCCTTCTCTCTCTCTCTCTCTCTCTCTCTCTCTCTCTCTCTCTCTCACTCCTCTATCATGCTTTCTCTCTGTCCGTATCACTCACCTTCTGCACCCTAGCTTTCTTGAGTTTCTCCAGGGCTATTTTGATCTTCTCCGACTTCAGCTTGGCGGCTTTCTCCTCCTCCGAGAGACTGGGATCCAGCTCTAACTGCGACTCCAGGTCCTTGAGTTTCACCCTCACGCTCTGTGTTAACTGATCCTGTAAGATAGGATAACATTCTTTCTCATTTATTTCCATTCAATGATTTACAATAATAAAGCCAGGGCTGCCAGGCAACTGCTTACGCTATTGTCTCAAGAGAAGGAGGTGCAAGCATGAGTTCTATCCGCTTAGTTTTCCATTTTTAGCAACTTCTTTTGGTCAAACAACTACAATACATATATATATGACATTCCAAACAGAGTAAATCTCAGGATGGGTATAAGAAACACTTTATTGCAATACATGTATGTACCATTGCCTTTAAACATAAGAAATACAAATATACCATGCCTTCTATACAGACTTTATTTTTAATGAAAAGAATATTGGCTTTAGAACTGAAGCTCATACATGCGAAATCAAATTTATGTTGGGGGACTTACTGTAAAACCATAAATGACAATTTTCATTGCAAAAATTCATGGTGGTGTCAGCTGTTTATTTAAAATATTTAATTGCATGAAACTTTGATGAGTTAGCATCTTTCAATAAAAATATGCACACGCAAAAAAAAAGTATCTTGATGAGATTAGGACCACATAAATGAACATTAAAGGTAATACAAAGTTTTGGGAAATTTTGAAAATTGGGTGGATAGTGAATCTTTACAATTTTGATATATTCGGATGCCCCTGTGGATGTATTATAAGCACTAAAAAAATTAGCTCCTAAAACACTTCTGTTTTCGAGAAAATTTGAATATAAAAATTTACTGGTGCTCCCGGTAAATTTTGATAAATTTCAAATAGCGCCTATGGCCGTATAATGGTAGCTGCGACCATGAAGCTGTTAAGATGATCACAATTTCCTAATTTATATTTAATTTGCTATTTTATCATTTTCGCAAATGTTTAGATATTTCTGTAACAAAGTTATAAATCTTATATTGTATACCGGGGCCCTGCTTACAAGCAACCTGCTTATTAAGGGTATCCCTCCATGTTTATGTTTATATTGTTATTTTAATACAATGTGTCAATACTATGTCAAAAATTGTTCTTTTTTAAAGATGGAAAATAAATTGAAATTGAAATTGAAATTGAATGAAAATCTCAGAATATGTAGTTGGGATATATAATTTCCAAACGGGAATAGCTAATCGGTCGAGTTTAGTCAAGAAACATTGTTTCATAGCTAAATTAATATCTTGACCTTGAGAGGGAGCTATACAACATAAATAGTATATTATTTATAATTTCATAACTTTAGACTCGATTACAACCGCGACAACGATCAATCTATATTGTAGGAACGCATATGCTTCCAATATGTTAATTTGAACCAAATTCATGACCCCATACCAAAACTTTGCAATACCTTTAATAGGTACACATACTTTATTATTCACAAGAGGTATAACTCTCACTTGACACATGTATGATGGCTACAATTTATAACCAAAGCAGAAAAAAGAGTAGAAACTTACTGGTGGTAATCCAAACGCTGCATAGCTAGCCGTAGGGCTTGGTGACGTAGGTGAGGTCACACTAACATCAGGTGCTCTGACACTACCATTGGCGGCGCTGAAGTCTAAGTGTGTCGTTGGTTGGGTGTGGTGCACCGACCTCTGTGCCGGTGCCGATGGAGCAGGCACCGGTGCCGTGTGCCTTGGTGTTGGCGTCGTCGGTGTCATGGGCGAATCTAGGGCGCCGGGTGTTGGTGTAAGCGTCGGTGTGGGTGACACCGGAGTGGTTGCACCTTCCTCTGGAGGTGCAGGGAAGTCTTCTGGCGGTGGGGGCATCCTGGCCTCACCATTCATCGGTGGCGGGGGTGGAAGATCATCCTCCATACCGTCCTGTTCACTAATATCTGGCATGGGCGGTGGCGGGGGCAGACGGCCGGTGTCCGTATCGGGTGGTGGTGTCGGTTTGAATGTGGGAGGGGGCGCTGATAAAGTCTTGGAGGCCGAGTTTGCGCTGGACTCATCAATCTTTTGCTGGAGGTCAATCTCCATTTGGCAGAGGTCGCCGAGTAGGGCATCAAGATCGACATCTTGGTCTTCTACAGAAGTAAAGAGACAAGAGAAACAAAGAGAGAGAAAATTGTTATCTCTTGATGTCAAGTAAACCCTTGAAAAAAACGTAAAATCATAACAATCTGAGAAAGCAGTTGTAACATCTCCAGGCCCTGGAACATTATACAAACACTGCATGCTTCGGCGTTCAATATAACAAATATAAGAACCGAAAAATTGAGAATTTCTGAAGTGATGTTATATTTCACCAATGCCGCAGGCTGAGGTTGAAACAAAATGGCATGAGGGGACTTCTGAATTTGGAGGTGAATTTATGGCTTTGAGCAGATTATATATTTCTTTAGCTTGAGAATCGACCATCCCATCTTCTACACAAATCTTATCCAGTTACACTAGTCAAGCCTGTCTATTAAGGTCACCCAAGGGCAACAAAACGTTGCCACTGTAGGCACGTATCCTTTTGAGACAGGACCTTCAACAAATATTTCCTTCTAGAGGGAGGCAATATGGGTGACCACTATAATGATATGCAGGCGGGCTTTATAGAGAGGTATTTGTATTTATTTACATTTAATCCCTTCTAAACGGTACAATATGAAACACAATGGATATATTATATGTAACAATGGTTTCAGCATAGAGTATACAGTAAATAATTCAGAGCATAACTTGAGTTGGGAACACCAATAATAGAGGTGGCCACTTAGGCAAGGTTGACTGTAAATCTATTACACCGACATTCCAATGACCACAAGATTCACTTTCCATGCGTTCTTCTTTCAAGGAAATAGTATTGTCAGAGACAAAACTAAAATTCATTACTTCTTGGCTCCATCCCACGAAAGATCAAAAGAGAAACAAACAAAATGACACCATTCACTAATTTACAGCAGCAAATGCTGATTAAAGTAAGATTATCAACACAATTGCGTGAAAATCAACAACGTACATGAAATAACTTCCAATATTTGTGATGTTCTAAGCAAAAGTTGAAACAATACACTACTTATTTCACCATGTCAAAATGTTATATCTTTAATCTTTATTAATAGTCATCAAAACCAGAAGAAAGAATATGAAACACAAGTGAGTTTTTAAAAAAAAGATACAGATAAAAGCCTACATTATTTGATTTAATGTAATATTCTATATCAAATTCAAAATAATGCAACTCCTTTCTTGACCTATGTTAAAGGGCTTAATCTGTACCTTTAATCTTTCAATTACCCGGAACCAAATGTGAATAAAATAGCAATAACAAATGCGTAGGAAGGTTGTCTAAACTAGCATTATCCGTGAACTCCAGTTGTGGTATTGTCAGGGCTACTCAACTTCATTGCAATGTGCATCATTATCCTTAATAACAATTTTAATTCACTATTTACACATAAAACAAATATCAATATTTAGCTAATATCCACCTACTTCCAGTAGCAACCCCTCATGCCTAGCCAGTGGTCTTAACAGGCTAGAAAAAGGATCCACAATCAACCGTGAAAAACCACAGAAATAAACACAAATCCTCCTTTGTTTTCCTTCCTGAACCATGAAACAAATAACAAAACATCCTCTTTCCTTTTGATTTGATTTGATTTTGTTGTCAAGGATTGTAATTTTTGACAGATCAACTGTTTTAGGTGATATTTATGAAACCATAAATCCATGTTGTTGTGGTTCTATCATCTCTCAATTTGAGTTGTATTCAATGAGATTTGAATGACAAAGAATAAGATTCATGAATAAATACATGATTTTGTTCTGCTCATTGTTTTTTTCAAATGTACATGGTGTGATAATGTTTTTCTCTTTCTTTCTCTCTCTCTCTCTCTCTCTCTCTCTCTTCCACTATCTGTCTCTATGTCTGTCTGTCTGCCTCTCTCTGTCTCTCTGTCTCTCTCTCTCTCTCTCTCTCTCTCTTTCTCTCTCCCTATTTTTGTAGTTGATTTGAAATTAGACATACTAGCATTACACAAACTATTTTTGTTACAGGAAATTTCTGCCTGTATAGAAATAAATCAAAAGGTTCATAGTCCTTTATGAAATTCATGGTATGCATTCATTCCTCTCTTCTGATTCAACCTAAATCTCAGGAAATGTCCATTTCCACGCCCCGCTATTAAAGCAAATAAATCTAAACAATAATTAACATGGTCAAGGTATATTGACCACTGTGGTAAAGCTTTATTTGTTTTTATTAATCAGCTTTGCAAACAGAGCTAATCAGAGTTATTTTAAAATACAAATATTACACAACCACTGATTCATTAAGATTTATCAAGGGAAATTGAGAAAAAAGTACAACTGGTTGACACTGAATGAAATAAAATTAAGCTAAAGTTGCTCATAGTACAAAAGGTTACAGTCACACCACAGATAACGAAACACTTCCAAATATAAACCACAGCTACTTTTTGTAGTCCCATATATTGACAAGTTTGTTTGCTTTATGACTAAAGGTGTACTGTCACTGCGAGTATCAGGTAATATAGTAAAATGAATAAATGAATGAGAAAAGCCTCTTTTTTCAATTAATGTTTGCCTTTTGCCTAAAAAAGAAACCTTAATCATTCATAGACATGAATTAGGAATATTTTACCCAAATTTATCTTGCATTATTCACACATTTAGCGGGCTATGCTCTGATTATGATGGCATATTCATCGGCTATCAACAGTCATTAACATTTCATCACAAGTCTAAGAATAAATATGATTTCATTCAATAAAGTCACACTTCCATGAACAGCTAAAGTTGCTAAACAGTCATAATTATTTTCAATGTTTGCAAGTCGGGGGAATAAATGTTATGTCAAGTTTCCTCACTACAGTTTAGTGTATATTACGTATGCAAGGAGCATATTTGAACACTTTCTATTTAAGAGAGGAATTTGAGCAATGTCAGATATGTCATTGGTCTGAACTCTGAAAATCAAATATTTGAATGAAAGGTGAATCAGAGTATTAGAGGAAATACTGCAAGTATATGTTTTATGTTGCAATATCACAATGAAGATAACTAAAGCTGATGTATGTAGTGAACATCTATTTTAAAAAACAGAATTATTTGATAGTCATTTTTAGGAGAAAAAAACCCATGAAAAAATTAATCTTTAGGGCATCCCTTTTTCACCAGTTGGTTACATTCACGGTGTACAAGTAAAAATAATAGTAATAATAATTAGATCAATTTATATAGCAAAGCTACTATATAAACATATCTACTGTGATGTGATGAAAACAAAGTGCTACTTTACAGAAACACAATGAAAAGGAGAAAAACAAAACTGTTCAAAAGCTCCTGAAAACAAGTGTGTCTTCAATAAAACTTTGAATACAGCAACAGATAGGCTTTTCTTATGTCTAGTCAAACAAAGCAATCACTATCATGTAAAGTAGGTGATCAAAATGGCAACAAAATGTAGTGGGTGTACGTTTCTCATGTTTCATCAAACACAAGAATACAACACTGTTGCTCTAATTGGTTCCCTGTTCCTACATCACTTCCAATAAATGCTCATAAAAAAAAAATGGCAGTCATTAAAATTAAGAAAAAGAAGGGAGTACAGGATAAATGGCAGCCATTGAAAAGGGAAGTATTGTGAATTAGGTAGCGAATGTTTTTTGTTGGAATTAAATGAACGAGATGGGTAATGGAGGCTCTGTCTCTCCGGGAACTTGACTCAATTAGGGTTATTTGTAAGGAAGATGGCCGACATGGGCATCGCTTGACACGGCAGGAAAGGTCAAGATGGTGGTGCTGCGGAGTGAGAACCCAGTACGCTTGACAGTAAATCAATACAACAACAAGTTTAGAAAGGACCCATTCGCACAAGAGGGAAAATCAGATAGGCCTACTTGTCAAGAAACGAATAATAATATTTATCGGTTCTTTTTTTGCGCATTACACATTATGGGTTCTAGGACACCTACCCCCTGGACATCCAACCCCCGGATAACCACCCCCAGTCACCTACCCCCCCTAGGGCAACCGTCCTCAAGGATGCAACTACCCCCTAGGACAACTACCCCCTAGGGCAACCACCCTCTAGGACGACTACCCCCTGGGACAACTACCCCCCAGTAAACTATCCCCCTAGGACACCCCCCCCCCCCCCCCCCCCGGAAAACTGGGGGTGGTTATCCAGGGGGTGGATGTCCAGTGGGTAGGTGTCCAGATACGCACATTATGATATAACGACCCTTTGCGCTTCCTAAGAGCTTTGGAAATTATTACCCTAGCTTTAGCTCCGGCAGCCTTATTGGCGCACAGTGCATTTCAAGGAATAATCCTACCAGGTACCCGTTTACCTCACCTGGGCGGAGTGTGGCAAATGTAGATAAACGTCTTACAAAAGGATGTTATCAACTTATCATATATATTTTAGCTATAGAGTTATTGTATCAAACTCTATATAAAGTTCCTTGTCTGAAAGAGGTTAGACTTATTTTTACCTGGCCAGAGTAAATAATATTAGATCTATTAAAAGCATTGGAGCTACATCAACAGTATGCTTGTTGCTATGTTTACCTTTATCTCTTCATTGTGTATATGGGGATCCAATGCTTTCTAGATTCTATAGGTCATAATGGTGTCCACATACAGCATAACCTTTGTAACATGAAGTACAGCACTTTTCTTTTTTCCCTTTTTTTCTCCATCCTTTTCCATTCCTCTTTCTGGATTTTCATGAAAGACGAATTTTATGAAAAGAAACTTTTTGTTTGTTTCAGCCAGAAATGTTGTATCCACTTTAATACACAGAGTTTAAGGCCTTTCTAGCTCTAACAGATGTTTTCAAAACTTAAACCATTTTTGTCCTACTTTTTCCATTTCTCTTAGGTGATATTTCCAATTGGTCGGACACTCTCCTGGTAAAGAAGTAAACCCCACATTTTAACAAACATGGCAATTTTTTTCTTCAAGCGAGCAAATAATTCCTAAAAGGCCTCATAATACGTTAAATGTCTGCTGAGAGCCAGATGGGCATTAAATCCATATAAAAGTACCTATATTAATGCCTTTCTGA